ATGGACTTAACTCAAAAGGTATTGAATTTGAGAAGTTCAAAGCTATCCCATTATTACCTTTAGGCGGTGCCCCACTGGGTAACCACCGGGATATGAAGCCGTATTATATCGGGGTAAAAAGGAGCTAGGTTTAGAAAGTAAATCTGAGGCTTTGATTTATGATATCTGTAAAAAAAAAAAAAAGGGGGGCGGGATGGTGTGTGTGTGTGGGTGGGTGTGTGTGTGGGTGGGTGTGTGGGTGGGTGTGTGGGTGGGTGTGGGTTATGCCCCCTCCACCAACAGAATATTCCAACAGACGCAGACGATCACGAGTTAAGGACCACGCGTGTGCCAACTCAGAGGTTCCCAAACAGTTCGGACCAATGCGTCCTTGTTGCATCCAACTCTCCCGAACAAGTGCCCAGCGAAATAACGTTATTTTAATCAAAATCAATGTTCACTGACACTGTTTGGTAAAAACCGATCCATTTTTAAAAACTGCTATCGACCAGAAATAGCCCCAAATAACTTGACTTGAATTAATCAAAGCGACATTCTGTTGGAACAATCTGCGAACAAACGTATCCAACAATAAGACTGACATCTCAATATATTTAAAAAAAAACCCAATGTATAATTTCAAAACAATTGCAAAGCGTCACCTGGTCACCATTCGTGGAGTCTTCTGGCAATAGTAAATATTATGTGAGTTTCCAGTTTGCACCATAGCAGCTCCTAGATGTCACCGTATGTTAAATTATGAAATATATTAACACCTCACGGCGTCGCACCTACGAGGAAGCCGTGGCTCGAGAAGGCACCGTGGCGGACAGAGGGGGAACCTCGGTGCAGCCAGCTTTAGTACCCCTCTTTGATGGATAAAACAGGCCGTGCACGCTTCAATGATCATCAAAACTAACATGCACGCGTTGTAAACACCAACACAAATGCACAGAGTGCACTCTTAGCAGGTATGGCGAGTGATTCTTTCAGGCAGCTCCCTGGAAAGGGGGTTTGGGTGGGGGGGGGGGTTCAATGCCCCCGTAGCGTTCCCCCCCCCCCCCCCNGAAAACTGTGTAACACAATAAAGTAAAACAATAGGCTTATTTAAAGAACAAAAACTAAATGTTCAATTCTTGTTTAATTAATGTATGTTAATTTTTTTAAGTTCATGATTATGTTTGTTAAATTGTATGTACAGCGTGGTGATCCCAGCCCTAGGCTAGGGTACCACGCTATATAAAACGACCAATAATAATAATATATTAAAAAGAGAAGTTAAAAGGTAGGCCTAACTTTTACCGATTGAAATGAGCAAAATAGTGCAGCCATCAAATATTGTGGTGGGCGATATATTTCATGATCCGAAAAGGAGCCAGAATAATCAACTCATTGATCGTGGGCCCTCAAAATAAAGAGGAAGAAGAAAAAGAATATTCAAGGCATGTCTTGGTACAGCATTCAATTCTAAATATTTGAAACAGTTATTTCTATAAATATGTATCCGTTTTGGCTGAAAATGGATTTGTACCATGTAATCAGAACACATTTCCATTAATGTGGATTAAAAAAAAAAAAAAGAAATTGTATCTTATTTTAATAATTAAACATTGACAATCTTATTAAAAAATTCTAAATATTTAAAAAAGTTATTTCAATAAATATGTATCCGTTTTGGCTGAAAATGAATTTGTACAATGTAATCAAAACAAATTTCAATTAATGTGGATTAAAAAAAAAAAAAAGAAATTGTATCTTATCTTAATAATTAAACATTGGCAATCTTATTAAAATGCCTATTTCTTAATAAAAGGCGTTACGTGTTATAATTATTATATTTCTATATAAAATATTTTATAATAAATGGAATCGTTGCCATGAGTGTTGAGCTAGATACAAATAAATTCAATGCTACCAGTTTGCAAGCATTAGTTTACAAATTAAACATATCTAGATAGCGTGAAATAGGAAGCTAATCAAATAACCCATTAAAACAAAAGTTTTTCGTATAAATTCCTTTATAAAATGTAATATTGAGCAATGGGGGCTGGGGATTGGGGGTGGGGGGTGGGGTTGACAGTTTGACAAAACATGCATACAAGTAACCCAATTTATAAGAATCTCAATTAGTGCTTCCCCCCCCCCCACACACACACACTTTTTTTGTTTAAATTCAAGGCTGGCAAACAACCGCAAATTTTGTTCACGCCCCTGAACTATATTCACATTCTAATAACCCACCCGCTTCTACACCGCAGATTTATTTCACCAGCTAGTTCAGAAAAAGCATAAAGAAAATAATATGCACCAAGCGTACTTGTAATACATATATCAATTATATCTTATTTAGCGGAGTTAGTGGAAACTTTATTCCGTGAAATCAGCATCATCATACTTCCTTCATCGTCCCCCTTAAAAACAGGAAACAACTAATTTATGGGGGTTGGGGCTGAAAATTTTCTAGAATGTGTTGTCATTGGAGACGAGTCTTTGTGCCAAGTTTCGATAGTATGACGGGGAGTGGGTTAATTTGCAATCCGAAGGTTTTGCTGGCCAGCCAGCCACGGATAAATGCGAAGTCAATATAAAGGATTAAAAAAAAACAGTGTTTGAGAAGTGGTTTTTCAATTTTTTTATTTACTAATTATGTTGTATAAGGTACATTTAGACAAAACTTTTTGTTGTTGTTGTTGTTTTAAATATAGAAAATTTAAACATAGACATGTGTTAAAGTAAAGTAGATCAACTAGATATAACAAATCTGCCCCTTGATGTGTAAGTTATCTTATTAAACTAATTTTGCCATTCATATAGAAAATAGGCCTATTTTTTTTTAATAACTTGACGGTTTGGTACAGCCATAAAAAATTTATTCCATTAAAACTTAGCAATATTTAAAATTAAAATAAATGCAGAAAAAAAAAAAGTCTAATTAATATTTTAACATAGTTTTGTTTCTTTTTCTTTCAATGTGTATAACAATGTGAATTATTTTTTTTTAATGCTACGCGCCGACATGACGTATCGGAACCTTGTTTTTAACTTAATTATTTCATATTCATTTATTATTGAAGTATGTAGGCCTATGAAGGATGAATTTTGAATTATCAATAAATTTCTGGGAAGGCCTTCAAACCTCGAATTAACCCCCCCCCCCCACTACACCATCGCACAAATGAAAAGCCTCTGGAAGTTATTTTTAACTTAATTATTTCATATTCATTTATTATTGAAGTATGTAGGCCTATGAAGGATGAATTTTGAATTATCAATAAATTTCTGGGAAGGCCTTCAAACCTCGAATTAACCCCCCCCCCCACTACACCATCGCACAAATGAAAAGCCTCTGGAAGTTAAAAAAGTACCGGTATAATGATCTAACTTTAACTGACAAAATATGATTTCCCTTTAATCGTTAAATATATATAGGCCCTACATATATTACCTTATATAGAATTCTGGGGCGAAACTAAGCTTTTATCAAAAGCATACCCCCAGTGGAGGCCCTAATGGAATGAATTTTGTTTTTGGTGTCCAAAGATGCATGCCCACCCCCCCCCCCCAACCACAATGCCCCCTCGGATCAAATTCTCTGAAAGAAAAATTGGCTATGGTGGAGTTATATGTATACGCGTAACCTTGCACTTATGCCACTACCATATATGTAGCCTGCTTCTGCCACTACCATATATGTAGCCTGCTTCTGCCACTACCATATACGTAGCCTGCTTGAAGATGCTGTGAGTAGGTCTACCCATGTACCACATCCCGTCTAGTTGTCCAGAAATCATGAGTTTCAGAGGATATCGGTTATACTTAGCCCAAGGACGCCTGACGGTAGAACGGAGTGGTTTCCCCTTTTTCTTCTTTCTTTCAAAAACTCCCCCGACAGTTGTGTGTGGATCTGCCAATGTATAAACGCACAGCATGATCGTAATGAAAACATTCCAACTAAATTAGCATGCGCAAGGAGTTTGTGCTGCTCAGATGTTACGAGACGAATGATGGTGGCACCCATATGCCTAAAGATGGAAGTGGCGATAACGAACCGCAAGTTCTTGTTATTATGCAAAGGTCGTCCCGTGTTTTCATGCTATACTTTGTGCCCCTTGCACCCATTCACAAGCTTCGTGCAATTTATCAACTGTTTCACCTCTACCTAAGGGTCCACAGATGGGTGTCCTTTCAGTGTTATCTCCCTTGGATATGCCTGACTTGACAGAAGTTTGAGACGAAAGATTACCAAGCTCTGTTTACAGTTCACTCCCCTTTTGACGACTTGTTATCTCTTGATATAAAAAAAAACAACACAAACTTTTATCCAAATGTCATAACATCAGAACTTATTGCAGTAAGTTTCTGAAAGCTTATTTCAGAATAAATATGTTTTGGGAGGGTAGGCCTATATAACTAAAGCAGATTTGAGAGGACAGGGGCAGATATGATGAAAAGATTTGGAGACGAACCATGACCTAAAGGTTAGGAAAGTGCAAGAACAACAGGCTTCTTAACTAGTCATTGCTGCACTAATAGGTACACTTGGGACATCAATTAATCATTTAATCAATTAAACACGTGTTAATATTATTAAGGATGTTAAATGAAAATGGTTTTCTTACTTTGAAAGCAAAAACCAATTATGATTTTCAAAAAGCAATTGTGGAATTTTTTTTAAATTAAAAAAATCAAGAATAATAAAAAAAACAATGTTACCAGTAAACCTAAATCTATTTTTTAAATATTATTTAATACAAAAAATAAAGATGATGCACAATGCATTAAGTTGATAGGCTAACCTTATCCTTCAAGTATCTGACCATACCGTACTTTGCATTCTTATCAGCTGTCTGATGTTAAAGATCCATTGTGAATGGATTTTTGTTAAGGCATCCAGTGGTCTCCTTGTTATTGTAAGCATTGTGCCACATATATTAACAAGTTGGCAGATAAGTACTCAATATCTTTTAAATAATGTCACTCAAGGATTCTCATTGTATGACCTTTGCCAAAATGATAACTGTTATTCACTGCTAAATGGGGTTGAGGAAGAAAAAAAAAGGGGGGGGGGGGGATGGGAGAGAAGGAAACGATAATAACTTGCTTATAAATTCTGGCAATGTAATTCTAGTCCATGAAATTCTCCCTGATGCACTGGATAAAATTACCAGGTTCACACATTAAAATATTTCAAATTCACGAACATGGTTACAATTAACAATAATCAATCACAAATTGGCAAAGTTATTAACACATCTCAATCTCATTCCAACTAGTGGTGTTTATGTTGATTCTGGGATAAAAAAATTCTTCTCTTTGGCAGATGGAGTTAAGTTTTTAGAGATCAGTGATGAATTTTTACAGACTAACTTCTATAACTTGTGTTGATTTATTCCTAAATTATGAACAACATTTTAACAAATATGTCAACTTTAACTGAAAAGAGTTATTTACGCTTCTCTATTTAGCAAAAATATTTCCTAAAATTGTTATAAGCCATAATAATAAACAAAGAATTGCAACTATACTGTAATCAGAAAAGAAAAAAAACATTTTCTTTAAATTTGTAATAACTTTAATATCACATTTTCATTTTTGTCTCTTGAAGGCAAACTTGTACTGTGCGGCCATCTCCTTCGTCTCTTGCTGGACACATTTTTTCTTACATGATTTATCCTGAAATTAAATATAAATCTTATGTTATTTATACCGTATAATCATTTAAAATCCATTGTCAAAGTTTCAAATATCAAAATCATTTTGTTGCCAAGTTCAAACAAGGGAAATAAGAAATTCCAGGGAAGTAACTCAGTGAACTTACCACCCCATGAACTTTGGCGTCAAGTTTATCTGCAATTATTTTTAACTCTCTGGCTCTGTCTATTCTCCTTGACATTTCTTTGTATGCAGCATCTTTCGACTCCATCACCGCCTAAAAGGATATGATTGAAAGGTTAGAGTAGCATTTTCTTATCAACACCGCCTACAAGGATATGATTGAAAGGTTAGAATAGCATTTTCTTATCAACACTAGACAGTAATTAAAAAACAAATGACAATGTCAGATGTTAATGACAGATACATTTTCTAGTTTAATTTTGTCATCAGCTGATCAAGGAAAATACAATGGTTGTAAAAATATTTACACTCTCCTTATTATACTCACCATTGACACGAAAGAAAGGTTTATATACTTATACTATTTATACATTTTGGGACTTTTCATAGTAGCTATGAAATATAAGATTTCATTTGATAGCTTTATTGATAAATAACTTAATCTCATCTTATTATAATGTCATTAATATCGTCAAATTAAACCTCACAAAAAGAATTAAAAATCCTCATTTTCTTTAGGCGCCTTTGTATATTGTGAACGCCATTTTCCATGGTTAAAAAATAAAAATGTGCTTCTCAACCCTCTCACAGAACCAGTTAAAAGAAAGTAGTTTCTGGTTCCTATCACAGTATGTTTACAATGAAGGCAAGTAGTGAGATTTAATAAACAAAAACAAATGTTGTTTATCATCAAGAGTCTCTCCCTCAAGTTATGTGCACTCAACACATTCCTCATGATGAGTCAACCAGAACCTCATTATCTCTGTGACTTTCTATCATTTGCAATCTATTAGTACAGAAATATTATTCAAATTCCACTTAAACTTTCACATGTAGCATTTTTAAGCGCAGAGATTGACATAAACCTTTTCATCAAGACAAATTAACAAAAACCATTGAAACCAACTGTCATACCAGATATGCGTAGTTGAAATCAGATGGCTGAGAGTCTCTATGGAAGTAAGCACAACACACAGTTGTCATTATCTCTAATTATCATGAATAATTTGTTAACTTTTTGGTTATAAAACATAAGCCCTTGCCTTTAACTGTTCAGTATCTAGGGAAAATGTTCCTGTCTTCAGAGTCTCCAACTTGGGTCTGTTGTAAGCTCTGTCAACAAATGCAGGATGAGTGTCGAAAAATTTGGCAGGGTCAAAGTTTTTGGCTGAAAGATAAAGAAATTGAAGTTTATGTGTGGCCTATAGAAGAATTCTTTGAATGAAAGCCTTCCAAATTAGAACATTGGAACAAATCGTTGTGAAGGAGAGGTGTCATTAAAACTTTACACTGCGACAAACAGTTGATATCACCAAACATCGATTAAATAGACCAATCAAGACAGCAAGTAATATCACACAAACAAACAAAAAAAAGGCTTTACTTTACTATTTGAAGAAAGATGCTGGTGTAAAACTAAAAAATTTTGAGGATACATCCCATCATCTTCATCACAGATACCTAAGGTCAGCTCAATCAGGCTGAATTCTTTCCCTCAGTTAAGAGCGAAAGATATACAAATTCTTTTTCCCCCCGTCTGTCAGAATTTACAAGCGCACTCCCCCAGCAGTTACAAAATCTAAATGATTAATTGACTGACCAGTTAAATCATTATTGTCACTAAGGGAGTGAAGTTTTATGGTATAAGATAACTGATTTTTACAATTGAGAAATACTAGATGCCTTGTGTTTAGATTGTTCTAGTTTTAAAGTTCTAGTTTTAAAATATTGTCTAGTTAAGAATATTTATTTATCTACATGCTGAGAATGAATACCTGTAAGTAGAATATAATAAAATATTTTTTTTTACATGTTGTATATATCACTAGAAGAATCTTATCTTAACATTTGGTTGAGACATGTTATTGTACTTTACAAATTTAAGTTACACTTACCATCTTCCTTAGAGTCCACAAAGATTATGTGTGAATTTTTCTTTTGATCACTGTCAATCATGTGAAGAGTTTTCTTCAACTTTTCAATTTTCTAAACAAAATTTGTGACAACAAAAGTAGATCAAAATATTATCATGTAATTGAATTATAAACCTTTATTTACAGCAAATTTTACAATAACATTTTTAGGTTCAAGCAGACAAACTGATATATTCAGAAAATGTTTTAAATTATCTTTTCGTTATGGGCAGGAATGCACTGGGAGGAATGCATTCAGTTGGAAGCAATATGAAATATACTACACAGACTAGGGGAAAACCTGAAAGGTTAAAAAAATGTATACTTTCTTTTACGTCTAATGTATGCATGCATAGTAGAAATTGGAAGACAAAAGTGTTGATTATTTTGGATAAAAAATTTGAATATGACAAGCAATTTCTAAAATATTTAAAAAAAGAAATATGGCACGACTATAATTGGATGGAAATTAAAAATTTTAGGGTGTATGGGACACAGAATCGTAGATTCTAAAAGATTTATGTTATCAAGAGCAGTTACAAAATAAATTTGACAATTTTTTGGTGTACATTTAAACTCTATAGGATTACAAGGGTTAAACTGAACTGTTACTATTTTACGAAGGTCGGCGGCATAACCCAAAGGCAGCTATGTGTATTTATATATACCTTAAGTTCTTTGGAAAGTCTGTACAACACGTATCTTTTGTCTTGAGTTGCCATTAACTTCTTTTGCTCCTCTGTCACCACAGGTTCAGCTGTTTTCCGTAACCTATGTTCTCCATCCTGAAAATTAATAGTGTATATTGGACATTTGCAAACATAATGTTAAGACTTCAAGTCATTTGTATTGCTCTTTTTGGAGCATAGTTTAATTATTAATTGAAAACCATATACATGCACATAACATTTTTTGGAAAGAGCAATTTTTTTTTACAATGTAAAGAAAAAAACAACATTTATCTATTAAGTAAAAAATTAAAAAATGATGCTGCTTAAAAAACTACTTTAGCAATTTAATAACATCATTACAAGAAATAGTTTATTAGTTACTTTAAACTGTTAACAGATGAGAAATATATTTCATAAATCAACGTTAATATCGTACCAATTTCTTTGTCCTTGTCATATTGAAGTAAAATTCATCTGGATTCCTATCCTCAGCTTTCCTCTTAAGCTTTTTAATTGTGTCCTCTTTTTTGTGAAAATCTCTGTAATTCACAACATTAACTAAAACTTTTAATTACATAGACATGGTTGAAAAACATCAGCCTACTAGACATCAAATAAAAAATCATCAGCTAAAGCAAAAATAGGTCTAATCTTAGATGTAGTTAAGTTTAAGACTTAGATACAGAGGAAGTTACAAAATTATATAAAAGATTCGAATTGTATATGGTCAATAGTTTTTTAATAAAATTATGAGTTTCTAAGGATCATTACTTACCTTGCTCTTTCTCTGTAGTCTTTTTTTCTTTCGAGCATCCCTAAATGTGCCCGATCTTCAGGCTACAGAAGCACAACAAAAATTGAATAACATTTTAACACCAAATATGTGCAGTTTGACCACTCTCACTTATCTCATTGTGTATATAAATTATAAGAAATGAATGATCACTAATATGAGTTTAACTTACAAGTACAATGCACACATGGTGCTCATCAATATCAAATCATATGACTATAGGATTCAATGCTCTTATTATTCTTTAGCCCAAGCAACTTAGGCTTGGGCCATTACTGAAATGGGGAATTTCGAATATATAATATCAAGCCAATTTAAAGAAAAAATAATAAAACTCCTAATCTTAAAATGTATTTGACATTGACTTTGAGTCAGAGCCGCCACTTGACGGTTGGAGTTGCAGGTCCCTGCCTCTTTTCTGTTTTGCATTTTTTTCAACATCACAACTTTGGCCCTTAAATGACCAAGGTTCCCTACATTGCAGGGCCCACACAATTGCTCTTTCTGATTTTATGTTTAACAAACCAGACAAGAAACAGACTAAGTATTAGTATTATCGAGTTACGTTTAGTTACGAGTATGACAATTTATTGAGAATTGTCAATTATTGTCAATTTGGGCAATCCTCCGAAGTCTGGTATCAAATTATTTCGTATGAAAAAAATTGCAATGCACAGTGTCTATTGTTATAAAACAGCAGAAATGTCAGTCATAGCTTTTGCAAATAACTGTCACTTTACAAACCAGTCAGTAAACACTAAATATTTTATTTGTAATTGGCACATAACATTTGCAAATAGCAGTCAAAAACTTTCTGCTTCTCCAAGTAGCTGGCAAACAGACCGCAACTAGTACCACTCTGAAAAGATAGCGGAGTTTACGTTTTGCTTGCATCCAAAGTCCTTCAATAATTTATTTGTAAAAGTAAATGTCCTGGTCTTCTGATACTGGATCAACAAATTCATGCGCATGCACAATGACAGCATGAGCATAAATCCCGTTGTTGAGCTGAGCGACATTTTGATATCCTCACAATTAGTGATAATGCGCTCGAGTGTTTATGCATCTCGACGGCCAACAACCTCCATCCAACATCGTCCAGTAACGCAAACATGAATTTCAAAACAGAACGATGCCCAAGACTTTTACGTAAGGAGTAATCATTGGAAATAATTTGGGACCGGACTTCGGAGGATTGCCGTCAATTTAATTGTAATTGAGTAGGTTAATTGAGTGAGTGTAACTCATTGACAATATATAATAAAATAATATGATTATATTATTATATCATAAATTATATGGTAGGCCTATAGTATAATATATTAGGTAATCTACCACTAGAGCGTCCGCCGAGGAAAAAATCCAGCTGTTCCTGTTGGAAGGGCTATTTAAACAACTATTCTTTTATTAATTTTAATGACATTGGTTGTACGTATTCATTCCCATAATAATAGACAATTTTTTTAAAATAGAAAAACTATAACAATTTTTTTGAAATAGAAGATAATGTGTGAAAATGGAATTATGCATAGTTCTACCCCAAGTTGACAATGAAGTTTAAAAAAATATAATTTCCACGAAAACGGTTGTGGTACATGAATCCACGTAAATATAAAGGGGAGAGATCACTGGCGCTTCTTGTGCCAAACTGTCTTTTTAGTTTACGGGGACACTTTCTGAGCATTCACGTTTTCCACATTCTGTGTGTGGACATCCGTGTTATCTGGATAAAAAAAAAATAATTGTAGTCTCTTTTTCTTCCTGGCATATCGGTAGCTTGGCAGTAATAATTATTTAAATGTATTAGTATTGTGCTATATAACTTTATAGCCTCTATAGGGAAGCAAAAATATGAACAGACTCCAATGTAAGAATATAGTTGTTTAAATAGCCCTTCCAACCAGTACAACTGGATTTTTTTTTTGGCCGAAGCTCAAGTGGTAGATTACCATATATTATTTATTATTATAATAAAATATGCTTAAGTATTAATAATACTTTAAATTAGTCTATTAATTCTGTTAAACTAAACTTAATAAAAATGAAAATGCTATCGAAAATTGGGAGTTGCTATCAATGTTACATACAAAAGATATATTTAAAGGATTTTACGCTTCGGGCATACCTGTGGACGCTCTCTGTGAATTTTCTGTACTTTATTTTTCTTAAAAGACGACATTTTCTCAGACTGGTACTTTATCTTTTGCCTCTAAATATCCTAAAGAACCACGTGAAGGGTGAAAGCGAAAGTGTAAACAATATTGAAAAATTGCTATAGTTTTCCAGCCTCTAAGGGTGGAGAGCGTAGTGTTGTCACCTCATAAGATAAGCACTCAAATATGTAAATTTGCACTAAAAGAAATAAAGCCTATCTAATTATTGCTTTTGTAAATAATAAATAAATGTTAAAAATGCCATAACACCAAAAAAGCGAAAGTAGGATTATTTAGTTTAGGTTATTACGCTTTTAATTTAATTGAATTAATTAAAAGTTAATAAGTGCTGACTTTTTCCTGCCCCCCCCCCCTCCCTCGGGCGATGGGCGACCGAAAATGTTTTCAATTTTTAATTTAAACAAAATGCTTATTTTAACTCAAAAATAATTATTTATATTTTATTGTATTTCTTATATTCCCATGTACCGTATTATCCCATACATAGAGTACATAGCGAAAAAAATCAAAAAAAAAATAAAAAAAAATCAAAGAATTATAATATAAATAGATATATAAATGCATTTAAATTTTTGCTGATCTATTTAATAACACAAAATTGTAGGAAAAACATTTTATTTCATCCTTAGTTTGTTAATCAACAAGTTAAAACTTTATATAACTAAAAGTATGTGACTATTTTAATTTACACTCATTTGACATTTAAAGTGGTTAAAATAATGTAATAACCAGTAAATATTTAAGATAAACAATTTAATAGAGAAAACATGATTGTTGACGTCAACTAAGGGGGGGGGGGTCCATTTAATTACGTCAACAAAATTGGGGGGGGGGGGTGGGGGGAGGGGGTGTGGAAATGTTCGACAGTTGTTGACAAGGGGGAGGGAGTTAGTTTAGATTAGTTGAAGTAAACAATCATGTTTTCTCTATTAAAACTTTAATCTTAAGAGAAAACATGATTGTTGACGTCAACTAAGGGGGGGGGGGTCCATTTAATTACGTCAACAAAATTGGGGGGTGGGGGGGGGGTGAGGGGGTGTGGAAATGTTCGACAGTTGTTGACAAGGGGGAGGGAGTTAGTTTAGATTAGTTGAAGTCAACAATCATGTTTTCTCTATTAAAACTTTAATCTTAAAAATTGACTGGTTATTACATTATTTTAAAAAAATGTATAAGTGTACATGAGAGTAAATAGTCATATTATTTTTAGGCTTTTAGCAATATAAGATTTATTTCATGTGTGTCTGTGCACTGCAGATGGTTGACCAGAATGTTAGCACACTTTGTTAGTGTAAGAGAAGTTAAACGTTGGCCTCTCTTCACCTGAAGATTCTGTTGCAAGTATGGAACAAGGACAAGGTTCAAGTGTCATGTGCAGTCAAGGTAAATGGTATTTATAAATTAGGGATACGATATTTTGAGAATTAGGTGAATGTAAAGTGAGTAACAATAATAACATCGCTGCTTGAAAGGATTTGCAAAATCTGTAACATCTATTTTGAATCACAAGTCATGTCGAAAAACTTGGTCGGCTTGTTAAGTTGTTTATTACTGGAGGTGCAACGGTACATAGCAATTTAAATACAACTTGCAAATTAGGGGGGGGGGGGGCAAATATTTAGTATTTAACAACCTTTCAGTTGTTTCTGCATTATAAAATTTAAGTGCAAAAACTTTTTGGCTTGGTGATTAACAAGCTAAAGATGTAATTAAATGTTTTTCCTACAATTTTATTGTCATTAAAATAGATCAGCACAAAGTAAAATGTATTTATAAATTTATTTATAATAATCATTCTTTTTTTTTAGGTTTTTGGGGTGGGACCCTCGAAAATGTTGACATAATTAAATAGGTTGGTCATTGGAAGTTTGACAGTTGTTGACAAGGGGATGGAGGGGGTAAAAAATTGCTTAAACATTGTTGACGTAATTAATGNTACCCCCCCCCCCTTTCCTATTTGTTGACATAATTAATGGACGGACCCCCTGTACAATGGTGCCGCGAAAAGTGAATCCGCCAACCCGCTATAGTCGTGGCATCACTCTATTTTACTTGTGGCAAACATAAATTGATTTGATCACAAGTAAAAGTTTAACATTCAAACAAAAACATTCTAGATGTTAATATTTCAAAACCAAAAGGAATAAAAATAAAAATCTATGCTTTATCTCATGTTAGAGCGGGAACTTCCGACTGGGCTGCTGCGTAGGTGACAAAGACATAAGGCTACAAGAACGATATGTATTAGGTCGGCCTTCGGTAACTAGCTGTCAAACAGTGAGTTAAAATAATACGTCTCATTGGGAAATGTCGTCGGTGGGCCGTCGAGCGCTAGCACACAATGCCCCCCACCCAGCAGCCCCCACACGGGCCAGAAGCCGGGTTTCCCCGCCACCAGACCATGCGGTGGCACGCCGGCAACCTCCCCAACTTCCTGGGGGACGTCCGGTCGACCGAAAACGCTGCGTTTAAAGCGTTCGCAGCCAACTTTCCCGTGGCTTGGGCGGGTTTGCTTCCACCCCGGAGGGAAGGTGTTGCGTTACCACCCTCCGCCGCCCAGGGAGTCTTTCGGTCGGGACGGAAATATGGGACGAAAATATATAAATTAATAAAGGGTGCACTAAGTTAATAGAAGAGTCAACAATAACGCTTACAAATAAGGCTACATAAATATTTATGTGGAAAGTGCAGCAGAGTCATTAGAGCTAAGTTGCGTATTGAAAGTTACAGAATTGGCTTTTAGAGGATGACGATTGCTGACAACAATAACACATATTATAAGCTTAACAACCCCTAAAACCAAAGTTTTTGGTATAAATCCTTTATAAAATGTCATGTCGAGCAATGGGGTTTGGCTGAAAATTTGGCAAAACATAAATCCAAGCTTTTATCCTTCAATGTTTAATTAAAATAATAAAGTGATGCACATATTTATAGTCTGGTTGTCAATGTTAAAATCCCTAAATCATCACTGAAATGAAATTCGTTAAAAATTAACTTTAAAAAAATATCGTGAACGCTTAATAGAGTAAATATTCGAATTTAATGAGCTCGTAGATTAAATTACGAGCAGGATAACTCTGTGAAGAATGGTTACTCTACTCGGTGACACTTCAAAGCTGTATGCGTCTCTGCCCTTCTGAAGTGTTTTAAGTGACTAATGTGCTCAAGGATTGCTAATAATATATTTTTAATAACATGAGTGAAGAAAAGTTATGCGTTACCAGGAGAAATATGATTTGCATCAAATTAAAGTAATCAAGGGAAGCTACTTTAGAAAGAAAAATAACTTCTTAAATAAAAATAATTAATTATTTTTCATTAGTTCTAAAAAATTTTGAAAAAATGTATTAAAACATATTGTTTGTATTATTAATAAATTTAACTTTATATTTTTAGATATTTAATATTTAAAAAATATTTTAGTGTTTAAAGATATAATATAATTTTAAAAACAATATTTGCATTTTATAATAATTTTATATTGTTAATGTTTTTGTTTATAAATTTCCCCCCTTTACCGCTATTGTAAGATTCGCACCGTTATTTACCGTAACATTATTTTTTGTATGGGTCTTTACGGCTCACAAAATTGCGAGGTGACATTTCCGTCGTACTTTCGCTTACTGTTACTTATTCATAATTTTACTTCATACACCTTCCCCTAGTGATGGCGAGAGTCCAACTTATAAAAAGCATCAGCACAGCTGTCTGTCAAATAAAGTAGGTGGAGACAGCTACAATGCATTTAAAATATAGTAAGAAAAAACAATAATTATTGATCGTGGGTTGTGAGTGACGTATGACACAGTTATTTATTTTTGATAGACAACCACAGAGGTTAGACAATTATTTTTTTTATATATATATATTATATTTAATGGCTGTTACACGAAATACTTAGTAAATTTTCAAAAAGCCGATTTATTCATACTTTTACAATTTGCCCTGTTAGTATATATTTGGTTTAAAATATTTATTTTTTTCCTGTCAAATATTTGTGTCCAAAGAAAGATCACCCCGACAACTTAACATAAATAAAAAGTTAATCTTAACTGGTTGGGTTATCTCTCTTTATGAGCTTGATCACCCGTTATTAAAAAGGCATGTTTAAATAATTATGTTCTCTTTCTCTAGGTGCGGTAGATGTTGCTTGGGTGTTGTTGCTGCTGTTTATTTCTTGGGGCGTGGGGATGGGCGCGGTCACAATTTTACTTTAGTGTTAATCTTATGTAACTTTTACTTTCATACAATGTCACCAAACATTGCTGGTTACATTTAGACCTTCCTTAAAAATGTATAACACTCATTAACATATAGGACCTATGTACTTTCAGTGTATTGGTCGATGTTTTACAATGGTACAATTTGTATTATTCTTGGACTGACCTTCACTACCGTACCGTAGTCCTGATGACTTCATCACAACCACGTCATCATGCACTAGAACTATTCGGATAAAAAAAGTGGATCCTTATAATCCGTCTATTAATTCACAGAAAGCGCCATATTATAAAAACGTGGGTTAAAATAAAGTAGTTAAAAAAAAACAACTAATTAAATTTTAAAAATTGTTCTGCACATTTTGAATAGTCTCGTTACGTGAGTGCTGGAAATAAAACAACTTGGTGAGATAATTACAGTTTGAGACCCCTTCAGTATCTCACAAAAATGGAAATTATTTTACACTGGTTTGCCTGGTAATTTAAAAAACAAGACGTTTGAAGTGAGACAGGTACAATTTATTTCTGTTGCTTTGATATATGGCTAATTGGGAAAAAAAAACAAAAAAAAAAAACTGCTGAAAAATAGAATTTAAAACCCTGAATGTTAACAAGAAATTAAACAAGAGGACATTTTTTCATGCAATTACTTTAAAACATTCATTACAACCAAAAATACGACTGGAATAAAATTTTAAAATGATTTGTTTCCCTATAAAAGCCAACCAAAAAAAAAAAAAAAAAAAAAAATTAAAACCCAAAAAAAATGGCCGAGAGGAAAATCACTTTCTATTTCCGTGTTGGCTCGAGTTCTAGTACAACGTTTTAAGATCTGGCGGTGTTGGGGAGAAATTAGCAAGCCCGAAAATTCTATAGAAATATAAACTAAGTTGACAAAACAAACGTTAAATTGTTT